CCGCCCCGGGGGCGGTGGGGCGGGACGGGAGGGAGCCAGCCCCCGGCACCCTGCCGCCCAGCCCCGGCCTGGGCCGGGACAGCCCGCGGCGCCCCCGGGTCCCCGTCCTGGTCCCCTCGGTCCCTCTTCTCGGGTGTCATCTCTGAGCACTTTTCTTGAGTGCCTTAAGCGGGGACTAACAGCTGCTGCGTTCGTTATTCTCTCCCCGGTGGGGAAGAGGAAGAGGGGGATGAAGCAGGCAGGTACCTGTTTCAGCAGAGATTTTTATTTTGTTTATGAATATGCACAGTACTGTGCACATACACTAGAGAAAGTGAAGTCAAAGGAATGCTTTCCACTCTCGTGGTAACAAGTGAATCCTGGATAATCTAAAGTCTTCGTAAAGCTAATACGAAGTCCCAGATCACCAAATAAGTTTTTTCTTCCCATACATAAATGCACAACTCTCTCTAAGTTGTCATAATCCTATCTCATGGCAAAACTTGTCCTACAATGTGTTACCTCACCTCTCAGAGTTATCAACAGAAAAAGTAACAAAAAATTTTGGCTATTTGAATTGCTCCTGCTCCACAAGGAAGTGTTTTGTCATCGTTTTTCACAGCAGGAGTTGTGGGTAAGAGCACGGCCATATGTGGTGTGCAGTACCGTGTTACTGCGACGTATCTGACTCCTTGAGTAGTGCGTCCTATCTCAAATGATAAGGACATAGTTCATAATATCTCCTAGCATATTTGTAAGGATGTAAAGCGTACTGCAGGGAAAATGCCTGTAAAATAATACTTATATGGCAGCTGTAACAGATAAGCATAGTGTATTTTCCTGGGCCTTTTTATTGACCTGCTGTCAGAGTCTTGTCAACATGGTGGTCTTTCCTGACCTTTGACCTTTGTCAAATCCGCAAGATTGAGACAGAAAATACTTTGCAGCTGGGTTGGTACCAAACATTAGCACCAGTTACCCCGTATGTTTATCTTGTTGTGTAAAAAAGCACTGTAAGAGTAGAAAATTTTACATATTTTTTTATACCCCATTCACAGCGTACGTACCTACCCACTGTTACAGCTCCTTGGTTATGGATACCTAAATGTAACTGAACTATTAGCTCATTGTATCAGTCACCTCTTTTCTGTCTTAATAATGAATTTCCATTTTGAGGCTTGTTCTATTTTTGGGCAATAAACTTCTGCACCACCCATTTGCTTTTGCCACCGTAAATGCCCTCTGGACACTCTGCTGAATTGTCAGATCCATTCCTGAAAGAAGGGAAGCTTCTCCCCAGAGAGCCGTAGGAAGTGCTCCTCTTGGGCCATGAGGGTGGGCGTTTGTGGTGATAGCACTATGTCCTAGACGGTGCTAGTAACATTATCATTTATTGTACTGCCATTCTCTTTCATCTTTAAGATCCTGTTTTAATCTACTCAGAACTTTGTCAAGGCCATTACTTTGTCAGAAAACTGTTTAGGCTCTAACATGCCCATGGTCTAGGCATTGTATTTGGCAAGTAAGCAGACATAAGGGGTTCTCTTGCGATCCGCATGAATATCCATCCACATTGGAGCCATGCCAGAACACTCAGGAGCTGGGGAACACCAGGTCTGTGAAACTTCAAATTGCTTCACAGCTGCATGCGTATTATTTTACTATATCATTTAGTGTACGTGGTTATTTACCAGTTTTTTTCTGGAGCCCTGTTTCATGCATTGCACTGGAATAGAAAGTACTTATTTAATGAGAAGTTTTCCACCATTTCTCCCACTCGATCTGGAATTATGTCCTACCTATTGTATTTTGTTCAAGTAATGCTCTGAATACAGAACTACAGATTTCGCCAGTGTTTTTTCTTGTATGGTTATTTTGACAGAGTGCTTCTAAAATACTAGCTCATTTATTTTCAAGCATTGCTACAAAACCAAGGCATGCTATTATCTTCAGTTAACAAGTGGGAATTCTGAGATCCAAAGGAGCTAAGATAAAAGAATCCACAAAGCTTAGGTGTCTTATATGAGAGCAGTCTAGGACTTTATTTTTTTGTAACTATTTAGCACTATGTCACACTTCATTTACCCACATATAGCTCTCATTCACTTCAGATCCAGATTTAAGTAGTCAGCACGTTGATAAATCAGATTCTCATCAGACATTGAAAAAATTGGTTAGTGGCCACCTATGATAAATGTAAGTAACTTGCATAGCATCAATTACAAACTCAGGGGCAAGCTTATAATTCAGCTTTCAAGACAGCATTCAATTGCCTTAACCACTGACCTGTTCTTTTCTCCCTGGAAGCCTTTGCTGCATTCACTACTCAACTTCTGTCACAAACATGGAAGAAATCCTTCTGAATGCACTCTATAATCTCTTTAACTTAACAAGTTCCGTTCCTATCTATGCTTCATGCCAAAAGAGGCAGGGGCCCTATGAAATAAATAGTACATAATCCCCGATTTTATAAAAATGTATTTACAGAAGGAACATTTTCAGCCTTTTGACTGGCTAGTATTGTGACCTTAACAACAGTGTTCATTTAACATTTGTGTATGCATAACTATAAAATGGATGAAACACCGTATTATATGTCATCCCATGAGTCATGGATACTTATCAAAAGTATAACTTAAATCTAGAAATGAAATCAATATGACGCATTAAATAAATAAATCTCCCACCTAAACCTGCCAGGATTACCTGGTATAATGCTTTTTTAGACATTAAAACATCTCAGTCACAACAACAGAAACAAAAGAACAGTCTATATTGATCTTCACCTTGAAGCTGACCTGTTAATTATTCACTAGACAATGTTTATCTAATAAACTTAGCTACTCTTTCAGTCCTTGGAATATCTTTGAGCATGATGCTAATCTTTTTGGGGGATTTATTTTGGGTGTTTTCTTCCATGCATTTTTGTGACTTTTTTTTTACTTCTCCTTGTTATTTAACCTTGTAGAAGAGTAGCGTGGCATTGGAAATTGTACAGTATTGCTTTATGGCTGTGTCCTTTGAATGATTGTAGGGGTACGCTGACATTAATGTTTGGAGAGATGTGAACAATTTCAGTTAAAGCATCTTTCCACATGCATATGCAAAAAGGTACGGTTTTGGCACGTGAGGGTAGAGTATTGCTTCCTCCCAAGCTTCTGGAAGAGCAGATTTTGCACTTTTTCATTGCCCAGTCTTATTGTCCACCCGCAATTAACATTTCAATCAAATTTTGTACAGAAAGTATGAATCACTCTTATTTGAAGGGAATTGTGTCTTAATTTGACAGTATGAGTCTCCACGAGAAGACTGAACTTCCCTGGGTAGCATTTTGTAATGGGTGTATTAACATTTTCAGAGAACTTTCAGAAATGTTTCCTTCATGCATCTTTCAGTAACTCTAATTATCCACTGTCTCAACAAATTGTTTTGCATACTTGTTCTGTCAAATTTTGAAAGGAATCTGTAAAAAGAGGCTTGCATTAAAGAAATTAAGTAGCTCCACTATGTAAAGTAACAAACCTTCACTATGCAAAAATTAGTTATCAAAACCTGTTTGGTTTGTTAGCTACTTTCAAGGACCAGTGCCATCACTTACCTTTTTCATTCATTTGTTTTACTCTTCAAATATTCCTCCAAGCCAGACAGCTCAGCAGGAATGCGGGGCTCATCTATCAAAACCAAGAGGATCTGAGGAACTGATGAAGAATTAAATGGGAGTATGCGAGGCTGCAGGGGAATGGAAATTTCTATTGCACGTAGCCTGCAAAAGAGACACAGGTCCATAGATCTGCTGGGGAGAGCCTGAGCACAGAAGGGACAGAAAAAGCCTTTCTCTTCACCGCTGCAGTGTGTGGCACCACTGCAAATCATCAGCTTTGTAGCGATGACCACTCCCAGTAATGAAGTGATTGCTTACTGGCAGTTCTGGCACTTTTTTTATTGTTATTATTTTTAATCCTTACTACAAATGTGAATGGAATACTGAAAAAAAAACCCATTTAATGAAGAGAAAAAGATTTTTTTTTTAATTCCTGACCATTTAAGTTATCAGATGAGATGCCACTGAAAGCAAAAACTACTGAACTTTAGATTCCATGCAGCACGTCTCTGAGTGACGCACATTGCCTGAAATGTGAGCAAAAGTAGGGAAAGCACGTATTTTGACCTATAAACTGCACTGCCAAAATACTGGAAAAGACTATACGCATTGCTAAATTGTTAGTACAACTTTGTGCACTTACAGTTCAATGCATCAAGTTTTCAAAAGCTAACTGTTACAAGTTTCTCTTCATTCCGTTCTATGTCCTGTGTAGCACTACACTCATAAGAAAAGAAAGACATTTTGATGTGTGCTATTTTAGCTGTATTTTAGCATTTAATTAAAACACATTTTTCTTTGGATCCAGATATAAGCTGCACAAGCTTGATAAAATTCTTCCAGCACACTACATCTTTTACATCTTTCTAAGGTGGCATCTTTCTAAGGAATACTTGGACTTTTTGTTACTTTCATCTCTCAAGTATTCCAAAGAAGAAGCCATAAGGTTCCAGCATGACCAAATACGGGGGTT